TCTGGACATGGTGGGCAGGGGCCGGGGCCGGGGCAGGGTGAGGAAGTTTAGGCATGGTGTATGTCTTTCCTTTGTCTCAAATACATGCTTCTTCAGAGAAACAGAACCAACAGGATATGTAGAGGTTTATTTCAAGGAATTGGTTCACATAATTGTGAAGATTCAGGGAAGAGTTGTGTTTTTACTCCTAAGGCAGTCTGCTGGCAGAATTCCTTCTTGCTCAGGGGAAGTCAGTTTTTGTTCTATTAAGACCTTCACCTGATTGGATGAGCCTCACCTGCATTGTGGAAGGCAATCTGTTTTACTCAAAGTCCACTAATTTAAATGTTAATCTCATCCAAAAAACAGAAAATTCTGGAATCATATTTAACCAAATATCTGAGCACTGTGATCCAGCCGAGTTGACACATAAAATTAACCAACATACATGTCTTCCTTGTACTAAACTGCTTTTGCCTTACTGCACTGGTTAGAAGGGCAATGACCAAAATGATAGCCACTAGTCACATCAGGCTACTGAGTATTTGAAATGAGGCTAGTCCAAGTTGAGATGTCCTGTACATGTAAAATACACACTAAGTTTCAAAGACTATAATAAAGCAAATGTGAACTATCGTTAATTTTTTCATTGATTTCACCTGGAAATGATCATTTTGAGTACATTGAGTATATTCCTTTCCTATAGCTGCCATATAAATTATGACAAACTCAGTAGCTTAAAACAACACAAAATTTATAACCTTACGTTTCAGTATAAAAGTCTGATGTGGGTCTCAATGGGCTAAAATCAAGGTTTGGGCAGGGCTGTGTTCCTTCTGGAGGCTCTAGGTGAAAGTCCATATCCTGACCTTTTCCAGCTTCTAGAAGATGCCCAAATTCCTTGGCTACTGGCCACCTTGCTCCACTTTCAGAGCCAGCAGTATCTTCTATCTTACCCTTCCTAACATCTCTCTGACCACGGCTACGAACAATGGAAATGTTCTCTATTTTCATGAACTGATGTGATTAGATTGGGCCCAGCTGATGATTCAGCATACTCTCATCTCAAGGTCCTTACATCTGTCACATTCTCATAGTCCCTTTGCCATGTAAGACACATTCACATTTTATGATTCTTGGACATCTTTATTTTGCTAATTAAATTGTACTAAATAAATATTATTTCCACTTTCCATTTTTACTTTTTTAAAATTTATTCATTTTAATTAATTTCAAGTATACAGTACATTGGTTAGACATCTATATAGTTATTAAAACAATCCCCCCAATTGCTCCCTCTCTCCCCTAGCCCTCCACCTAGCCAACATATTAATGCTAACTGCATTCCCTATGCTGTGCTCCCCATCCCCGTGACCATCTATCAACTACTAATTTGTACTTCTTTAACCCT